TAAAAACCACGTTGTGTAAGTTAGTGGCCACGAAAATTTTAATACAATGTGGAAAAAACTTCAACATTTCTAGAATGCTGTCTCTGTTGCAAAGCAAACTGAGTGCGTGCGTTTTCCACCTTGTCGCTGGTACTTCACGATTCCACCTCTTTCCATCTAATTGTAAATGAAGATCAGCAAGTTGACCCTAAACAACCAGTCTGAAAACAACTTAAGGAAGATGCTGACGGCTAGAGAAATGTTCTTACCAGGATTATTGTAAAATACAACGCGATATGAAAACAATAAAACATTATGCTGTAGTGTATGACTGCACACCATTCAACCTTAAAGTGATAGAAACAAGAAGTAGAATGCACCGATGGTTAGGCGGTTATGGTTATGGAGACCGATGGTTAGGCGGTTATGGTTATGGAGACCTTCTCAGGTTCCCAGAGAAAAACACCAAGCAAAGGATAAAACGAGACTTCTCGACTAACCACCGTACTAGTTAGGAATATAAAGATTGCCCACTATGCATGAAGAGCCGCAAAGGAAACGTTCCTGGAGAGTAATTCGCAATAAAGATCAACGCAAACTTGACAGCTCAAAACTTTTGAGAAAGTCACGTCTTTGAGATCCAAGAATATAACCACTTCACTCATTACACCGACACCTCACTCATCAACGAAGGAAGAAACGAAAAAAGATAACGGGTGAGAAGGATAAAACGATGAAAGACTCGGATATAAACGATAAAGGGAATGTTCTTGGATCTTACTTGAAACCTGAACGGCCCGTTCTCCCTGCTTGTGCGGACCTCAGTATAACCTCCATTTTTCGGGGATTTGCTGGTTAAGTCATTGTAGTTTCCTGGAATCCGCAGGTCAGCCTGGCCAAAGTCTGCCCCGGGTTTTCACCACCAAAGGCAGTCGCAGCCCTTGTGAATCAGAGGGAGATTTGCCACCATGCGACTTTGACACCATGAAGGTGGTGGATCCTGGTATTGGTTTACTCTTAGCTAAACTTTCTAGTGGAAACGCCGGACTCCCTCTCAGCTTGGGAGACTCTGCCAGGGGGATGAATCCCTCGCTGTACATCGTAGCTCGACACCCAGGAACTTCTCCAAACCACGATGAGGCGGTAAACCGTTGGAAGGATGGCAACGAAAATTGTGTTGCAGTGGTGAACAAACCATCAAAGAGCCTGATGGTGCGTGCTCACCACCACGTCTTGTCAATTTTTTGAAATCGCCCAAATCATCAACAGCAATCAGCAGATTTTTCACCTGCTACAGTTCGATTTTCGCCTGGATCAACTGTTGATTCTTCGTCTTCGGTTCATGAACATTCTTCTCCACTCCCCGATAGCCGGATCTTCAGCAGTGGCAGCGCTGTCTTTTCACGCAGTTTCTCCTGTCAAACGTGTCTTTAAGATCTGAAAGTAGTAAACAATAGGTCGTGAAGTCATGCAGTGCCATTCATCCACGAAATGTTTGAAAAATGAAAAACCCAATTGGACCCACCTGAATTTCATACCAAAGCTGCGCTATCGTCTAATGGCAGCTTTTGAGCCCATACGCACGAAGCTCGACGGAAAGCGACTGGAAAAACTAACTTGTTTCTGAAAAGAACTGGCTGTTTCAAACATCAAATATTGCACCAAGCAACAACTAGAGTAGAGCCAACCACAGTGTACGTAAACGGAAGCAACAAACAATAAGTAAACCTTGAAACTTACTCATCAACTCATTGCTTCCGACGTTTGATTCTTTTAACCACCTGCCCGTAAGCTACAGATTCATCTGTATGCGATCCACCCATTACAACGAAATCACGCAACCAACATCCGCTCAATGACTTAGCGTCAAAGAACAAACTTTAAAATACCACTGATTAGAATAGACGAACCCTACACAAGGCTGTATAAACAGAGAGCCAAATAAGTTCACATGAAACAACTGTGAAATGAAACCGTTGATTCCAATAAATGGAATTTGAAAGCGGCTCACCTTCAATGGGGTACGCAAAACTAATAAATGGATGACGATCAACCGCAGAAGCAGAGTATCGTAAGCAGGTTGAGACTCCTAAAATCGACTGGCAACTACGATGATGCGATGAGAGCTGAAGGAAACTGATTTAACACTCACACAAGGTGTGAAATCATCTTCACATATGTAAACGTCAAAATTTTATCTATCCGTTAGACCTAATAGTTCTGGATAGGAAGGAGGACTGGCTAAAAACATTAAATAAAACGAAGAAAGGTGCGAGAGTAAATATGGCAATAGTTGATACTTGACACTTGAATGGCTCGTCCTCACTGGTTGTGCGGGCCCCAGTATAACCTCCATTTTTTGGAGATTTGCTGATTAAGCCATTGTGCTACTCTGGAATCCCGAGGAGAGTATGGCCAAAATCTGCCTCAGCTCTTCATCACCACAGGCAACTGTAGACTTTGTGGATCAGAGAGAGATTTGCCACCATGCGACTTTTATACCAGGACGGTGGTGGATGCTGGTATTGCTTTACTCTTAGCTAGGTTTCTTGATGGAGAAACCGGACTTCTTCTCAGCTTCGGAGACCCTGCCAGCGGATGAATTCCCGCTGTATATCGCACTCCGACACCCAGGAACACCTCCCAGCTACGCACGGAAAAAGCCTGTCACACTCACAGTCACATGTTAGCGCCTGATCTAGGCCACTAAAGAACAGGTGATCATGGAAGTCAGCAAAACCACCCTTGTCAAGACCGACCTAAAATCGGCTTTCGCATTGAGCATACATTTATGCCAAACAAACTCCAAACGCCATAACTCTCTAGGACAAATCAACCTTCGCATCAAATCCTTCGCCTCCTCAGACCCTAAATTAATAGCGTTTATGTCGTCGAAACAGGGCCACCAACCGATCCACTTCCGTCATCCTCTATAGAAGAAAAAAGCAGCCCTCTTCCAGCCGAATTAAGCTGGAGCTGCTACAGTTTATAGACGAACGCCAAAAAATAGATGTGAACTCATTGGTATCATTTCCATTTATGTCTTAAAATTGGGATATGTTGAGTCACATAACAATTCGC